CAGATTTGATCTCTGCATCACTCCTTCTGGAGACGAGTGCTTTTGGTCCGGAGGAAGGTTTTGGTTCGCCATCGATGTGCCCAAAGAGTACAATATTCTGGTAATACGAGCAACAGATCCATTGACTGACGCGAGTGGTGTCTAATTGAGTGTCTAATTGAGTGTCTGTTTTGACTGACAGCCCCCTCAAGTGAAATGTCAGACCAGGATATGGCACCCAAACATCTCAGAGGACGGAGACATATGTCTCAGTCTTCTGCGCGAGAGCTCCATCGACGCCATGGGGTGGGCGCCCACCCGGACGCTCAAGGATGTGGTCTGGGGTCTCAACTCACTGTTCACCGTATGTTTGCATCAGATTTCAAGTTATGTTGGCTTAACATATGAGATACCATTCCCTTCCATTTCCCGCAGGATTTACTGAATTTCGATGACCCGCTCAACGACGAGGCGGCCGACCATTACCTCAGAGATCGGGACAGCTTTGAGCACAAAGTGAGAGATTATGTACACAAATATGCAAAGTCTTAATACTTATTATTAATTATTATTATTTATAACCAATTGTTAGTATAAAACATCTCCTTTTTTCTAATAAATATTTTTAATTAACACTAAAACAAACGATTCAATGAATGAATGCAGTAATGGGTGACTGAATGAGCGGCCGGTTATGTCTTATCGCTCACTCCAGCGAGTGTTCGGCGATCTCTTCCAACTCAATGGTCTCGAAATCCATTTCCCTCTCATAGAAGGCCAGTAGTGATAGGAATATGACCGACAAAACGATGCCCACGTTCTGTAGGGCCCATATGTAGAACATACTCCGCACCCCCTTTCGGGAGGCGTTCTCCATCGACCGGTTCATCGCTCGCATCACATCCACGAGAGCCATGTATAGGAAGAAACCGCCTAATAGTGGATGAGTCCATAGATTAAACATCACTTTCGAGGAGTGGGTTGGAAGGGAAAGGCTTACCGGCCAAAGCGAATATGTAAGGACTGGCCTCCTCTGCCTCGTCGCCCAGGAATATGCCGAGCGCTAGACCCGGATAACAGGCACAGGCGCACAACAGTATGTAGAGAAAGCTCTGTTTCATTGTCATACCGGCGCGTATGAGGACAGCAAACGTACCCAACCTGTGGGCCACCTCTTCCAACATAACGGCCACTGATATACTAATTCCGGCCATAATGTTGCGATCAAAGGCGGCGCCAATGGACAGGCCGTCGATAAAGTTGAGCAGAGCGTCGCCCAACACTATCATCCAGGCGACGGTGTCTATGGTGACAGTGGGCGGCGAGTTCTGGTCGAAGCGTCGGCTCCGGACTCCCGGCACGAAGTTCTCCTTCGCGTGCGCTTTGGTGTCCGCTTTGTCCACCGATTTGGCGCCGTCTGAGGCCGCGTATTGGTTGGCACTGACGGGCACTACGTTGACGGTAGACATGCATTGAGCCAACTGTTCGCGAGTGGAGTTCATCAGCGCCTCCCTCTGTGCGCCGCCCACTGCCTCCGAGTTGGACCGAATGCGCCTCATTTCAAACGACTGGTGCTGAGCGTACTGTACGTCTGGTGTCGTGGGGTCGGACGCCGGCTGTTTGTAAGCGATTTGTGTCATACCCGTCAGTACGTCCTTCTCGTCCTCCCGGCCCAGAGACGGCCGCTTTCGACGCCCTTTGCTTCGGAATGTTGTGATAATCTTGAGAACCATTTCTATGCAATAGAAGAGATAAATGCCACCGAATATGAGGAATGTGTGCCAAAAGTAGGCCCGATATTTGTCGTCCACTATGTCAAAGGCTTGTGGGAATAAATGCAATATAGCACTGCCCTAATGGGACAGACATTCTGTTAGGTTATGACAGAGATATGGTTGTGTTAAGAGTGAGTAAATTAAATTATGAAGACTAACCGCTAGACCGCCGACAGCCAGTCCCTCGAATAGTGTGAGTATTATCCTTCGGGCGTCTCTATTAAGAAACGGCAATACAATGAGCCCTCCCATCGACACCACTATCGATAGCGTAACGAATAGTACTCCAAAACCCCAAACCCTTTCGATGGACGGCTCCACCAGTTTGAGTGTCTGATCCTCTTCTTCATGCGAGCGAATGGCGTCTCCGTCACAAATCGGACGCGTCTTTCGGAAGAGTATGAGTGGACACAACCGGGCGATGACCTGATGGATGTCCATCGACTCCTTGGGCACCAGATCTAACATTTCGCTGGCGGACAGACACTCAGAGGTAACCGCTTCGCACAGCTCTTTGCTATTCTTCTTTTTACTGGACAACTGATCGCATCCGAGATCCCTGTCCTCCATCGGCGACTTACGGCCGCGCAGTTGTATGTCGTGGAAGTGGTCTATCAGTCGACTCACACGCGACTCATTTAACTTGATTTTATGGGTCGGATCGAGGATTATATGGGCCCTCAGCAGCACAAACCGGGCCAACCTCTCGATGTCTTTGATGTTGTTGATTATGGGCTCTTTGGGCGCCGTTACCCTCTCTGTGGAGCTGTTATTGGCCGCAATCTCCTCGTGCTCTTCGTCCGCGTAGTCCACGGACTCAACCCAACCGTTCAATAGTTGCAAACATATTGTGATTAACGTTAAGTCATATATAAATCTCATCCTAACGTATGGAATGCTGTTTTCAAAGCACTTCTTAACACTAAATAAAATTATGTTTTTTAATTCATTTACCACTCGATTAAGTGAAACCACTTGACTATTGAGTGTAAAATGCAAATACAATGTAATTTGCTATCAAAACCCAATGCATTGCTTTTGCAGATTGTCTTCAGAAACAATATTCTTGGCGTATATCTCATCATAATTTGCAGATAAAAGCAAAGCAAATATTAATGATGTGTTTAATTTGTGAGCGCACTTGAAATTAAAGCCTATTTTTTGTTTATTTGTTTAATCTTTACTATAATAAAGATTAGTTTGATTCGTGTATTCCAAGTGTCAATTTGAAACCCATTAATACATACACACAATGAGGGCTCAAAGTAAGCAACAATTGTTTGGGGAATTTGTAAGATTTATTGAACACACCGTTAAATTTGATACATTATATGCATTAAACGCGATACTCTTTATATCAAAATATCAATACATTTTTTTGTAGTTTTTTGTTTTGTTGTATTAATTCGTAGATTATTTACAATGAAGAGGAAAACTTAACAACAAATCCGATCACAGATTACATATTCGTCTATAATATACTCAACTATTTATATAATAGTTATATAATTATATACTTTTCGTATTAATAGCTATTGTTTTGGTTCTGATTATAGATATTTAAGTTAATAATAATATAAAAAGAGAACTCAATATATATTTACAACAATTTATAGATTTATAGTAAAAAATACTATTAAATAAAGATTTAGTGCTCTTTTAGATTCAATATAATTAGGAATCAATTCATTATCTTTTGTTAATTTTTTTGTATTTTCTTTTGCTTTTTTAAAACTCAAGTCAAAGGCCATTGTATTTGTACAGAATTTTTATGAAGTATTTTATGCTTAGAATTGAGTTCTTAATGAAGTCCTTACACCCGAATAACCGGTAATACCTGTCCTCCCATGCGATGAGTTAGTAATCGGTTACTCAAACACAAGGTTTTCGATACCCGTTTCGATTTCAATACAATTATTGTACGCTTTGTTGGAGACATCGGCGCCGTCGCGGCCGACATCACCGCCGGAGTGGCCGTTGTCTTCACTGTCGTAACCGCTGTCCTGACGGCTCCGTTCGGTCTCCAGTTTGTCGGTCTTTAACATTTTGGACACATTTTCCGTCAAACTATCCTTTCGGTGGGAATTCTTACGCGCTTTCGAGCGCTTTTGGTTCTTCAGCTTTCGGCCCAAAATACTAGAGTTCGGCCGATATATGGTTTTCGAGACGTTGTCACTGAAGCGCACGTTCTTCTTGGCGCCCATCCGGTGCTCACCGGCGATGTCGTCGTCGCTGTAGATGTCTTCGACCGATGAGAACAGGAGATCAAAGTCGGAGCCATTTTCGACGATCACATCACAGCTCGACTCAGAAACCGTGCGACGGATCCAATTGTGCGGGTATTTCAGTATTCCTCGCGCTATCAACTGATGGACAGACACACAGATAATCCATGAATACGTTTGTTTATAACAAACGACAAGTAGTTGTGACCATCAAATGGTTACTAAACCCCTAAACCCCCGCCCACTCTATAGATAGCGATAATAGTGACTGATATTGACATTAATCTAACGCCCGGTTTGGCGGGAATGGCATCATATTTGCAAACCATTTAATCTCAATTGTCATTAAGACAAGTCATGGAAGTGTTAAGTGATAGTAAATGATATCAAGATATGAATGCATACCTCGTTAGAGGACTCGGAGATCGTACGCCGTGTGGGCCGGCATTTGAACGTTTGGTTGGACGGCCGCTGAGAGCTATCGGCGCTCTCATTGGACTCATTGGCACCACTGCTATGACTGCGAGCGTCGGAAGCGCTACCACTGGACGGCCGGCGAGGGGGGCCGTCAGGTGAGCGCCGGCTGTTGTCCGGCTCGTCGTTTTCATCACCACTTTTATCACAAACTGAAGACTCAATGAATTCACTGTTTTTGTTGAACTGAAAGACACGCAAAGACTCGTTAAA